TCTTGAAAATATAAAATATTTACATACATCTAGCAAATTTGTATTATACGGAGTATTATGTTTATATGGGAATTTTGGGAACAAGTAAACAACTGCCAATAATGAGTAGGCTTTACTTTTGTGCTTTCACTCAAATTAGTTAACTTTATTTGGATTTTACAGGATAATGCAAATGCATTGAGGGCTCAGCTTGATCAGCAAAAGGGTGTAGTTGACAATCTCGTCAACAATACACGGGTTCTCCGCTAAGAAGCCTTTGTTGTTTGATTTAACAATAATATACAAATTACTTGTAAACAATTATCCATTTGTTTGACTTTTATTTATGGCTCGACAGCTTTTAGAGAGTAAGATACAAGAAGCAAAGTCAAAAAAGGATACACTAAGAGCACGTGCTCAGTCTGCTAAGTGGGTTCTCGCTCGTAGTTTTACCCTAGTGTCTTTATTGGATGTAGCATCGTAACATTTCTTGTCTATTTATCAGAAACATTCTAGTGGCCCAATATTTTATTTGTTTTCATATTTTATTACATTAATAATTAGGCCACTAATTGTCTCCCCTTCAGGACTGCAACCAAAGTATCTGAAATGCTGGGTAATGTGAACACTAGCAGTGCCCTTTCGGCATTTGAAAGAATGGAGGAAAAAGGTACTTTATTTGTCTCTGATTTATTTTATTGTAGATGCCTTGGTCTTCTATCTCTCTTTATGGCTCCAAGATTGACCCTGTGCAGTTCTTTCTCTGATACCTTTTGAGCTTTGTCGATGTTCTCATTATTAATGACGATGATGATTATAATAATAATAGTAGTAGTAGTAGTAGTAATAATAATAATAATAATAATAATAATAATAATAATAATAATAATTACAATTATTATCGGCAAGGATCTTTTGACCCGAGCCAAAAATGACCTGGGCATTTTGGGGCACCTCTGGTGCTCCATTGGTAAAATTGATGGTTCCTACCCTCTAACACCCCGCCCCGCACCCCCTTGCACCCCACGAATTTAAGGTCATTTGTATTATTATTATAATCATTGTTATTGTTATTGTTATTGTTATTGTTATCGTTATCGTTATCGTTATCGTTATCGTTATCGTTATCGTTATCGTTATTGTTATTGACTTATTGTTATTGTTATTGACTTATTGCTATTGTTATTGTTATTGTTATTGTTATTGTTATTGTTATTGTTATTGTTATTGTTATTGTTATTGTTATTGTTATTGTTATTGTTATTGTTATTGTTATTGTTATTGTTATTGTTTGACAATCCACGACTAGCCAGATCCATGGTTATTAACCTTAGAGAAGATTGGTCAAATGCATTTTTTCTAATCATTGACATGTTCCACTAATAACTAACTATTCCGACAAGATTCAAACACATAACCCTCACCATAGATACAGTGAAGATAGAAAGAGATGCATGTTACTTCTTTACAAGGTCCATAGGCAAGATGCAATTGCTAAAATGTTTTTAATGACATTCCTAATATTTGTCAAACTTGAAAAATAGATCTTCTTGACATTGTCTCTATCACATTATTCCCCTGCTGGCCCGTCCCACCCCTCACCCCCTAGACATTCACATTGGTTTGAATCTAGATCGGATCGATCTAGGTCCGGATTTGAATCCAATCTAATTCGGACTTGAGTTTTTTCAAGTTCATGTTCAGATGAGATTATTTTTTCTAAATTCGAATTGAACAATTATGTCCTCGGATCGGACCTGCTTTGGACTGGGGATCATACTCCCCAGTCCCAACACTACACATAATCAATTAAAGACTATATTTACCAAAAAATGACAAACTAAAGACACACAACTCTCGCACGCAACTTATGACAAAATGTGCAACTAACTGGAACGAGAGTTCTCAAGTCCTCGTAGTGTTGGCTTCAAACAAAAGCATGTGCTTGCAAATGTTCTTTACTAGATGAGATGTAGTAATGAAGTGCAATGGCTGACAACGGCATTTGTTTCTCTTGATAGTTTTGGCAATGGAGTCTCAAGCGGATGCTCTTAACCAGCTAACAAGTGATGAGCTTGAAGGAAAGGTGAGCATCCTCATATTTTTCTGCTGTCATATATGCCGTATAGAACATGGGGGCAGACTGAAAAAGCAGACAGAAATCCAAATCATCATTTTGTCAAAATTTGTTTATGTTTTAAACCCCAAAACAGCCTTATTTTGAGCTTTTTATATTCAAAATGATTGTTTGGTTCCATATGTTGCAAAAGGAACTGTTGACTGTGTTTCAAATGAGGCGATATCACATGGTTTGGAAATGAAACAATGCAAAAGCGTACTTTATCTGGATTATTGTTGAGATTGTTTTTTTAATTATAGTACCCTTTTGTAATTTGAAGATTTTGTCACAATGTAACGTTAATTCTGATTCTCATACTTTTGCTTTACAATTTTGTACTACCCCCAGACTTGTTGGTTCTGCCCCTCACAAAATATCCTGGATGCTCCCCTGCTGTCATAGTGACAATAAAAAAGCATACTGATTGGATTAATTTATTTCCTTGCCTAATTGCTCTTATAAAATTAATTCAGAAGTTGAGGTGAATGTTTCATATATAACCTGAATGTATGGCTCTGTTTTTATAAAAATCAAGTCTGGCTATAATTGTTTTCTTGTAATTTCACTTTGCCATAATCAAGTCTGTCGAACTATTTCTGGATTATAATGTTGCTTCCTTTTTTTCTCCGTTTGCAGTTTGCGTTGTTGGAGAGCTCTTCAGTTGACAGTGATCTGGCTGAATTAAAGAAAGAAATTGCTGGAAAGACAAAGGTATTTTCTTGTATATTCTTTCGTGGTGGTGAGTAAATTTCTTGCACCCCACTGATGGGGTTTTGAGCTTTTCCATGTGAGTTTTTTTTAGCACTCAATGATAGTAAACCCTTCTTTAATTTATACCCCTAGTAGTTTCCTTGTTCAGGGTTCACTATTATTTATTCCGGTATCTGATAACAATTTTCACTAGAAGAGTTCATTTGTTTTTTTAAACACAATAGTTCATTGCCTTTTGATTGAAATTGTTAAAGAGTGAGTCTAATTCCTATCAAGCTATTTTCCGGGTTTGATGTTGTAGTTGTTTCTTACAAGCTACGCTTTTTTTGATGAGTAGAAAGGTGAGCTTCCGCCTGGGAGAACACCCGTTGCTGGAACAAGGTCATTGCAGTTTCAGGATGCGGAGATTGAGAAAGAACTGAATGAACTACGAAGGCGAGCCAGTGATTTATAGGAACCATATGGATGACGATGGCGACGACGATGATGTTGTCATCATTTTTTTCTTCACTCCGTATGGCTTTCGTGCAACAAGGAATTGCCACATGAAGAAGAGGCAAGCGAGGAAAGCAAAAACCAAAATGGCTATCAGATTATATTTCTGTTTTGTTTATTGTATTATTATTTTTAACTGAAAGTGATTCTTCAACACACTTTGTGCGTGAACTATTTGGATGTCTATACAGTGAGTTTATTTTGCCTTTGTACATGAAATGAGTTGATGATTATTATTCAGACTTGGCAAAATTGGCAATGGTTTTGTGTCGCTGGTTTACACTTCTTCCATTTGGACATATTAGAAATAATGGACCCATGGACCCATGAGCATTTATATTTTATTCCATTCGTCTTAATTTAAATTACCTGTTTTGATAAACGATGTTACATTGAAATTTTTTAAAAATCATTTTATATGAAAAAATTGCGTTGAATTAAAATATTGAAATTACATATTCAAAATTAGATCAAAAGATCTACAAAACTAGTTATCACATGACTATATTATTTTATTAAATGATTAACGATAATAGAAAAAGAAAGTGAATGAAGTTTTACCTTGTAAATTGTAAACATACAATTTTACTTGAGACGGAGGGAGTACACTTTTTAATTGTTTTGTTTCTAAAGAAAATGGATAACTCTTTATGAATATCTTAAATATATAAATAACTCTCTTAGGTTCTGTTTAGTATACAGAATTTAAACTATTAAAATAGAATTAAGAACAACAATTCTAATTCTACTTTCTGATAGCACAAAAATATGTGAATTTGGAAATTGGAATTCGTAGTGCCAAAAATATGTCAATTAATTCCATAGATAACTCTCAATTCAATGCAATTTTGTCAATTTCATGTACCAAACAGACCCTTCATATGAAATACTCTCATCCGTCCCAAATTATTTGCAACGTTTGCTTTTTCAGCAGTCGCGGGAATTTTTGTTTATTTCTATGTTTTCATTGGTTATTTGATAATAAAATATTCTTGACACCTCTTATTTCGAAGAATTTTTCATGTAATTTTTTGATATGTAAATTTTATTTTTTATTTCTATACCAATATGTAAATAAAATGAATTGAAAAAACTTGACATTTTGCTTCGGAAATACAAGTGTGGCAAATATTTATGGACGGAGAGAGTATATCTTCCCCAATATATGGGTGACACATCATTACATTGTTGTACACGTCATACTATTCATTATTGTTAGAAACATGATATGATACGTTCTATCTACATAGTATCCCATGTTTCAACTCAGGGCATGGAGAGTCAAAATGCACTCAATTTTATACTCCATCACCCTAAAAAACTCCCTTTTTCCATTTTCTCAAAAAAAATCTTTAAAATAAAAGAAAATGTGACTCAATTTTTTTTTTTTTATTAACAAAACTTATCCATATTTTTTCTAATTTTCAATACCTTTTTTAAACTCCATAAAAATCAACCCAAAAAATATTTATGGAACAAAGAGTGTATATCTAAACACAGAGATTGTTCCATTTGAGTGTAATATCCTTATTGCATTATTTTATTAACTATCCAAAACTTCAAACTTCATAGAAAATATATGAGATGAAGTTTAATGTTCCATCATTAACTCTATTCCACCGAGTATAAAACAATACAAATGGAAAACAAAATAAGAAATAAAAGATCATAATATCACAAATTACAACTATTGTTCATTTTAGTTTTCGCTTTATTCTATTGGCACGACAAAACAATGCTAGCAATTTTCATAACAAATAACATTATTGAATATCGGTCTTGCTAATTTTCGCTTCATTCTATTGGCACGAAAAAACAACGCTAACAATTTTCATAACGAATAACATTATTGAATATCGGTCTTGCTAATGAAAACCTTAATGACTTTTGATAAGTGCATTGTTTTCATCTTTTATCATTTCTTATTCTTTTCCGAAAATGTGCACTTACTACTCCCAATTTTGCCAAAAAAGAGAAAATAAGGGTGCGGCGCGTTTACAGCTTAGCGACCTGTTGGCTGAACGACGGATCAATGCAAACAACAACCTGCATCATTTTAATTTTGTTTGTTCTCAGAGGCAGTTATCGAAGCGAATTTAGAATTGAAAAGAAAAGCATGCTAGCAAAGAAAACATCAGTGAAGTAGTGTGAAACGTTCGTACCTTGCCAGTGCTTTTACCGGAATGAAGATACTCGACAGCATCAGCAACAGAAGGGATGCCCACAAATGTTTTAGGATCTATGACAACCTTTGGCATATGTAGGACAATTAAAGATCCTTAATAGTATCATAAACCGACACTTAAGATTGAGCGGCAAACGCATGCGAAAACAGCTCGAGTCCCAATTTGAATTGCATGTTTACTATTGACAGGGTCAAACTTTAACCACATTCTTGGCTCATATGGCAACCCATTTGAGAAAATAATAATGTCTTGACACCTCTTATTTTATACTCGTAGAACTTTTGATATAGTTTTTAAATATAAATTTTAATTTTTAATTCCTTATCAATTTTTAAAATATATTGAATTAAAAATAACTTCCGCCAAACATCATAAACAACAATAGGCAACTCTTTTTGGGACGGAAGGAGTACTAATGAGACATATAAGACCTTACTCCTACTTTAGAGAGCAAATAGGTTGTTTTCAAGAGATGCCCGACTCAAACAAAACACATGACTGATCAGACATATATATGTATACAGTATACATGAAATATTGTGGTGGAAATGTTTATGTGCTTACTTTCAGCTTTCCAGACGAAAAAAGATATATCAACCTACTCAAATGCTCTTGCCAAAGATGGGCATGCTGCACTAGGAAAAACCCGGCCTGAAAACAATAACAAAACCGAATTACTATTACAAATACAGAAATCTATAGCACAAAACAATCATGTTTATCAGAGATGAATCAAATGAGACAGATCGAGACGGCGTACCACAGTTTGACTTTTAGCCAGAAGCTTTTCACATAATCCAGGGTAGTTTTGTGGTTTCCAACCATGCTCTCCTTGATACTGAAACAAAACCTACTCTCAGTTGACCTTACAATGTGACACTGATCAAGCAGTGGATCATAAACGCACCCATTGGTACACAAGGTTGATGTTAACCGGAGAATTGAAGGATAAAACCTGTTTGGTCAACCTTTCCTCAACTAAATCAGCCAAAATTTTCTAAATTATTTCACTGGTGCTGACTTGAATTGACTAATGAGTGATGACGAAAGAAGTAATGCAAATACAGAGTATAAATATATATTTTCTGAAATGACTCGAATAAAAGAGAATCACATTTCTAAATGAAAAGGTTATGAGTTGTTGCAAGCTATGGAGGAATTCCATGTAATAAAAATACCTAGGTGGGTCTAGACGGGGATTTTTAAAGTGGTGAAGAAAATTACCGTACCTGAGAAATCATTCCAATGACAACAAGTCGACCATAAACTGCTAAAGCATTCAGGCATAAGTCAAACATTTTACCACCAACGGACTCATACACAATATCAACTCCTTTTGGGAATTCCTTCTTCAGAACCTGTTTCAAGTAAATGATTAAGATATATGTGAAGTTAAAATGATTGGGAGCGCGTAAAGTGATCAATTGTGTGCAGAAGCACATTTTCCACTACTCACTACTCAGTTGAAACAAAGCACTTCACTTCAACCATCAACGTGAAAGCTACAAGATATAGAGGAAAGCTAGACTCACCGATTTTATATCCTCTTTTCTGTAGTCAATTACACGATCGACACCCAAGTCTCTTAACAAATTGGCCTTTTCATTACCTCCGCAAGTTGCAACCACGGTATTTCCAGCTAACTTTGCAAGCTGTAATGAAAATTTATCATACTCCGCGTATTACAAAGATGAAAAAGGAGAACCCCTTTTAACCTGCACAGCAAACTGCAAATTCTTCCAACATTATACCTGCACGGCAAATTGCCCCGTACCTCCAGCAGCAGCAGTAACAAGTACCACCTTTCCCGATTCCATTTGAGCAGCCTGGAAGTACATGAAAAAAAACGAGATTGTATTAGTCAAGACAGGGCTAGTGTGTGTTATCTGAAATCAAGAACATCAGCTGTAAAATGAATTTAAGAAGTTAATAGTCCAATGCAATTGGAAAAAAGGGGCTAAAAAGTTTAAAATCGAACTAAAAGGGACCTTTTCTAAAGAAATTGATGCTGTGAGTCCAGACGTAAGCATTGCAATTACTTCTGGATCGGGTCTTGGAATTGGAAGGATGTGTTTGGCTGGTACCTGAATAATGTGGAAGTTGATTCTCTCAAGACTTTCCCAACAACTAATGGTGAACAATCTAAAAAACTTTGACACACGCACACAGGCAATTATTAATGGTACCATGGCGAATTCAGCATAGCCACCGAATGTCATAATGGCAGCTGGAGTGCCGACCTTCAAACCTCTTACAGAATCACCAATCGCAGCAACTATCCCCACAGCCTGCAATGGAACTGTGGAATTATACCAGGATTGAACAGACAAAAAATGTTTTTTAAAATGTTAAGTAACCCAGAGGAAGCAATGCCAACTGAATCCAAAGCATAAATTATGAAGTGTCGGAGATCATAGCCCGTAATATTTTTATTATATCATGCAAGAAAGGATGCAATGATGCATCTTGCACAAACAAAGAAATACAACACAAATACAGTTATTTTTTCATCTAAGATATTAATTCTAAAAAGTCAAATGATAGTTGGAGAATCTTCATCACACCTCAAATCCAGCATCGAATGGAAGGTGGGAAGCAAGATCTTTATCATTACTGAAGTAACGGCCAGAGCTAAAATTGACCTGTTTCAAAATTCATAGATTATCTGTTGTTCAAGTATATTATTGCACTTACACTTCTCAAATGCTTTTCCTCACACGAACACAGCTCTCGGTCCTACTTTACCTCTGATAAGTAGCTCAATTATTTCTTTTCCTTCATTATATATACATTCATACAGTGTATCAAACATTTACAGTAATAATATCAATTCGTCAAAAAATAGTGTTCTTTTCTTCCTTCAGTACTTGTTTTTTTCCACTGCAATGCCAGGAGGTGGCTCAGGCCACCAGCCTAGCCTTGATCACTAAATATTGAGCACCAATATGCAAACCAGTATGCTAAAAACATATAAAACATTTTTGAGTAAAATATAAAGTAATTTAATAAATACATATGGTAAAACTTACATCACTAGCATTGACACCAGCATAAATGACCTTAATAAGAACATGGTGTGGTTTGAGGGGCAATTTCAATTGCACACGCACAACTCGTGTGGCACTTCGGAAATTGTGACTCAAAGTATGAACAACTCTACATAAGAAAAGTTAGAGGAAAAGTAAGGGCCAACAGTTTGTAAAACTCCGGCTTATTCTCATGAAGAAACATGAAGTATTTAATCACAAACAGGCTACTAGCAAACGAGCAAGCTTGCCCAATGAAGATGAGGGAAGCAGTTTACATCTTCTCAAAGCTTTGCGGAATTTGAAAATTTGGTCGGACAAATGTTGAAGTTATTCTCCTCAATTTAGAAGAATGAATAAGGTATTTTGCTTCTTCAGCTGGAGTTGGCCAATACTCCAATCCTCTGCGATTGGAAATCCAAAGACATGACCCTGCCTTGTTCTCATTTGAGATAAGTTCAAAAGCACCTGAAAAGTTACTGTCTGAACATCATAACTAGAATACGATATCTAAATAAAGTGACTACTTAAGCTACTTCTATTATACCATATGACATTATCATACAAATCTGATGCATAAACTTGAAATGAAAACAGATATGAAACTCTAAAACAGTTTTGTTGTTTTTCTTGAAACCCCTTTCTCAAGTTTGTAGAAGCTGAGGTCAAACATGTATGTAAAGTAGGAACAACATAAAAGTACAAACCTTTCACAACCATGTCCATTGGCACATACCCTCCTATGTGATTAATATAGTCTTGATTCACCTTTGAAGCCAGGTCAGTTTGAACAAACTGGAAAAAGAAGACAACATTAGCCCCATTAACAACCATTACAAAATAGAGGAGATGCGTGAAGAGTTTTTTTTTTACCTCAGGGCAAAGCACGTTCACGCGTATACCTTGACGTTTGTATGGAGCAAGTGATCTCGTGAACATGACAACACCCCCTATAAATTTTCAACACTTTTGCATGAAGGAAAAGCAAAACACGTGAAAAAGGAACAACCCAAATCCCGGAAAAAGGATACAATGAGTGACCCATATGGCCTTGAAGAAGCTAACTTACCTTTTGAACCAGAATAGATAGGGTCGAAATACATTGGATACAGTCCTGAAGCAGAGCCCAAGTTTATGATCACACCGGGCTTTCGTGTGTTTTGCATCATTTGGATCTGTTCCAAATGTCTAAATTACACTTCTTCACTGACCAATAAAAAACACTCAAGATCTTGGGAACAAATTTTTCAAAAACCAAACTCACGGCAAATTTAGTGCAATCAATAACAGCAATGAAGTTAACATTAAGTGTGTGCCTCCAAGTATTATCTCCATCAGTTTGGTCCTTATAGAAAGGCACACTACTTGCCAATCCTGCAGAGTTAATGCAGATGTCCAGCCCTCCATAAGTTTCATAGTGCTTCTCGAAAGCCGATTTTAGTTCTCCTGCTCCAAATTTCAACATTCCACAAGTCAAGCACCACAATAAATTTTATATTCCCAAATAACATAATCAAAGAACATTCAAGCTCTACTCACCTCTCTTGGTAACATCACATTTGATAAATGTGGCAGGCCGAAACTCCAAATCACCATGGAATTTAGAAATCTCTTTCTCTGCCAGAGATGCAACCTCATTTCCCTTCTCCGCAGAGAAATCAATGATGGTGAGGAAGACTCCCTTTTGAGCAAGTGCCAAGCAAAGTGCTTTGCCTGTATAACACATGAAAAAAGCAGAAACTGAGTTACTGAGACAATCCTTAAGGTCATCCTCCACAACACACTTAAATCTTAGATGGGAAATCTATTCATTTACACTAACCAACCTGTATAAAAATTTAACTTCACTTGAATAGAAGATTTTTACGAATAGATCAAAAGTCTTTTTAAAAAAAAAATTGGGTATGCTCAATCTATCCGATTCCAGATAGAGATAAAATTAACTTGTCCAAAACGATAACATTCCAAGAAATCATGCAAAGAAGGATTTGATGTCAAAGAAATATGGAGGAAGCGAGTACCGATTCCGGAGGCGCCGCCGGTGACCAAAGCCGATAGGCCAGGCTTGAGCTCCATGCTTCTTCTTCTTCTTCTTCTTCGTCGGAACAGGATATGACCCTTGAGCTTCTTCTTCTTCTTCTTCAGTTATGGGAGTATATAGAACGGAGTACTTTCCATTTTCATTTTCAGCTGATCCAAATAATGATCTCTCCCCTGTTTTCTACGGCACACCAAGAGACGACGGACGGTAAATAGTAAGTAAACAGTAAAATTACTACTTTGACTTTTTACTCAAAGATTTTAATCGTGATATAAATTTAATATTAATATACTTCCTCCGTCCTATAATGATCTTCCCGATTTGCAAAACGAAGAAAAATCCCAAGTTTTTTCAATCTATTTTATTTAAATATTGGTATAAAAATAAAAAATAAAACATATATATTTAAAAAAACTACACCAAAAGTTCAACAAAACAAGTAGTGACAACAATATTTTATTTTATCATATAGGCCATGAAAAAACACAAATAAATATAAATTTCCGTGAAGTTGGAATAGTGCTTTGGGAAGATCATTATAGGACGGAGGGAGTATTAATTTTGTGATATATTTTGAAAATGGAAAATGCTAGAATTACACCCAAAGTGTACTCCAAACATCCCCCACCCCCTCCATCACCACACAAAAAAGGCAAGAAATTTTCAAAAAAAATTAAAAATAAAAAAAAATAAAATGAATGATTAGTAGGAGGGTAGTGTACATTTGGGTACACTTTTTGGTGTACCCCTAACATATCCCTTTGAAAATATTATATTTTTACAATACATATTTACGTATAAATATAATCATTAATTGTTATAGTCCTGCATAAAGAAGTGCAAAAAAAATATTGAGGTGTTATTTCTCGGGTAGAAGGGGTGCTTATTATGGAGTATTCTACTCCTTACTCCCTCCGTACACTTAAGATTTTCTCATTACGCATTACGAAGCTTGACCAACTTTATTTTCAATTCAATTTAATTATTTATAGGAGTAAAATTTTAAAATAAAATTTATATAATAATAAACTACATGAAAACTTCTACAAAACTAGAAGTCACACGACTATATTATTTTATGAAATAACTAGTAAAAATAAGTAAACAAAATAAGTGAAATTTAACTCTATAGTGGACAGATGGAGTATTATATTATAATGAATTCTCTATGTCCCAAAGAAAAAAAATCATTTTTCTTTCTTACTCGTTAGAATAAACTTTGGTTTGACCATCTCACTTCATTTCTTATCTCTAATGGTATGATCGATTTGATTCAAATTCTATGCTTTAAAAATTTTAAAAAATTGAATTAGGATTTGAATTGAATTTCTCTCATTCATACTTCCTCCGTCCATAAATATTTGTCATATTTATATTCCCGAGGCAAAATATTAATTTTTCCAATTCATTTTATTTACATATTGGTATAGAAATAAAAAATAAAATTTACATATCAAAAAACTACATTAAAAATTATTCGAAATAAGAGGTATCAAGAATATTTTACTTTATCAAATAACTAATGAAAATATAGAAATAAATAAAAGTTTCTGCGACTGCTGAAAAAACAAACGTTGCAAATAGTTTGGGACGGAGGGCGTAATAAAGCTTCATTTGAAATTCAGCGATTCAAATTTTAGAATTAAAATACAATGCTAGTTTCCAAACACTACCTAAGTATATTTATTTACACACTTTTCAATGGAATTATCAATTTGTGTAAATTTAAACTCTTACTCTTTTGAAATGGAGGGAGTACATTTTACATGTGTAACCAATTTATAAGGCCCCGTTTGGTATACGAAATTCAAACTATGGAATTGGAAATGGAGATTTCAATTCCAATTCTGGTGTTTGGTAGTATAAAAATTGCGTGGATTTGGAATTGGTAGTGTAAAAAATAAATTGGAATTGATGAATTCGATTCTACAAAATTAAATCCTATAGAATTTCAATTACAATTCAATTCCAATTCCATCAATTTCGTATACCAAACGGACCCTAAGAGTAATTACCAATACATTTTGTATTATATGGGTTTGTGGAATAGTATATATCTGAATCTTGTTGAATTATAAGTCATGGTTTAATTATTACTCCCCTAAAACTTTCTTCACATAGCACTATTCCAACTTCATGGGAATTTATATTTATTTGTGTTTTTTCATGGACTATATGATAAAATAAAATATTTTTGACACCACTTGTTTTGTTGAACTTTTGATGTAGTTTTTAAATATGTATGTTTTATTTTTTATTTCTATACCAATATTTAAATAAAATAGATTGAAAAAACTTGAGATTTTTCTTCATTTTGCGCAACGGGAAGAAAGTTTTAGGACGGAGGGAGTACCATTTTATAATCACGTTTAAAAATCGACTAAAAAATACGGGGCTATACTCTTTTTGTCCTTTTAGATTTTTCTTACATTTTTGCGAAAGTTCTAAATTAATGTTGAAATATTTGCACTAAATAACACTAAAATTAAGTTATTTTTCTAAATAGTATTTAAATTGTTTTATTTCTTAAATAGTACATAGTATTTAATAATGTCCAGTGATGGGAATATTCATATATAGAGTAATGTCTAAATTTCAAAACCAATTTACTATATTTTCATATTTTACATGTAAGAACACTGGAAATGGGACTAACGCCCGAGACATTTTTGTTGGTTTTAACGAGAGGCGTTAAAACACCGCCCCTTGGGGCATCATCAGAGCTTCATCAGTGAGCTTCATCACTTGTGCGTCAAAGGTTTAATGGAGAAAGAAGAGAAAATGTGTTGATCCCAAAAAAAACAAAAGAATTACATTCATGCCCTTAGACTAAAAAAATTATTTTTTTAATATACACAAACACAATTTTCTACTCTATATTTTGTTGTTTAATGTAATATTTTTTTGTTTAATTTTTGGTAGGAATGTAAATATTTTGTTGTTTTCAAAACTTAACGTACTTTTTTTATTGAATGTTTTTTATTTAATAAATTAGTTCGGTTTGCAATATGTCCTTAGATTCCACATTTGATTGAAGAATTTTTTAGTCACTCGAATAATCCGTAATGTTTCATAAAGTAATGTATTTTTTTTATTTCTGTGATTATTCGAATCTTATTTTGTTAATGTACTTTTTAGTGATTGTATTTTTTATTTATTGAATTATTTTATTTTAAATTCAATTAAATATTATAATGTTATTAATTTATTCTTAAAAGATATATATATATATATATATATATATATATATATATATATATATATATATATAGTTTTGAAGTTGACTTCAAATATATTTTAAGTTAAATTCTAACGTAAATTAAAACTGTTGTGCAGAGACCATTACAAGAACCGAATCTATTTAAAACGATAAATTCATGGATATTCTTTTCTTAAAATTACAATAGAGGAAGAGTAATTTACCTAAATAGGACTAAAACATAATGAGTTTCCCAATATAGGACCATATGTTTTTATTTCTCAATGTAGGACTTTTATTCATTATCAAGTAGTCATTATTCAAATAAATGTTCATTATTACTGGACATTATTCCTCCCATAAGGTCATTATTAAGTCCTATTTAAGGAATAAAAAGATTCATTATGTTTTAGTACTATTTAGTTCAAATTTGACGTAGAGGAATGCTCTGTAAAATTGATTCGGAATAAACAAATGACATTTAATCAAATTTGTCACATATATTAGGTGAGACAAAAAGCCCAGAATTGGTAAATGCAATGATCTCAAACGCATTGAAATCCATCATCAAAAGCCATTCTTGAACCTCCCCATCTCCCGCCAATTCCCAGATTTCGCCACTTCCCTTCCTCGTACCTGCCGATGAATAAGCGCTTGAGTTGGTCTGCTCCGGCGGCGGGCTTGGAGCGGCCGTCGCGTAATCGGAGAAGGAAAAGTTGAGCTTCGCTCTCGGGCCTCTGAACTCAATGGCGGCCCGGTCGTAGGCCCGGGCCGCCTCTTCTGCCGTTCGGAACGTCCCCAGCCACACCCTGACCGCCTTCCGCGGGTCCCGAATCTCCGCTGCCCATTTCCCCCACGGCCTCCGCCTCACTCCTCTGTAATTCTTCCTCTTCTTCTTCACCCCATTCTTCTCCCCTGCATTTCTCTTCTTCTCATCTTCCTCCGTCTCCGGCGGCGCCCGGGAAATGTTGCACGTGTCTTCTCCCGGCGGAGAAACTTCCTCGCCGCCGCCGGGAGAGGAAGTGGTCGAGGCTGAGGAAGAGGCAGAGCAGGGAGAATGATGAGACTCCGCTGAGGGTGCGCCGATGCCATCTATGATGCACTTGAGGGCGGAGGCGATGACGGAATACTCATGATCGCCGGCGAGATGCGGCGGCGCGTGAGTGGCGGGAAATTCCCGAGATTGTTTGAGCTTCTTGTTGAAATTCTGCATGGTGCGTGGATCAAAACTCCGTTTTTTTGTTTGGTTCTTGAAACAGAGGATCGGAGATGATCTATATATATATATATATATATATATATATATATATATATATATATATATATATATATATAAAGAGCTCAGACTTTGTTTTTCACACGGAGTGAGTGACTGTCCATCTGCCTGTCATCGCCTGGAAAGATTTGATTAATATGTACAGTTCACAAACCTGGGAGGTGTTTCACGAGGATGACGTGGATGGACAGCGTAGGGCGACTGCCGGGTGACAGGTGGAGGGAAACGAGGAGGGCACACGGTGCTTTTTCCCTTTCGCCGAAGGAACAGGAGGCGGCGGTTACACTTGAGTGACGCCGTTTAACTTACATACATGTTGATCATCTTATAATTATTGTCCTAATTTGATTTTTTTTAAATTTATTTTATTTAAAGATTGGTATAAAAATAAAAAATTATATATTTAAAAATTATAGCAAAAGTGCTACAAAATATTAATAACAAAACTATTTTATTTTATCAAATAATCAATAAGAACGCACAAATAAAGAAAAAATTTACGCAATTTTTGAGTAGTAGAGTGTTGTATTCTTTTTGGAAAGGAGAGAGTATCAAATACGGAGTACAAGTTTGAATAAATAAATATTGCGATTATAAAAATTTAAGATTTCAAAAATTATATCTTAAAATAAGTATATTAAATTTACATTATAAGTAAATATATTTTCACACAATTTGACCAAAAACATAAATAAGATATAATAACTCATTCTTTACTCTTTTCCACACTTTGTAAAATTTAACTCATGCACTTAGTAAAAAAGTTCTAAAAATCAAATATAAACCAACACGAACCACACAATTTCCATATAAGCTAAAATTAGAGAAGTTCTTGTGACATGGAGTCTCAATGTCATACTATGACTCGAGTTTTAATTGGACACCTAAGGTGCTCCATTTGAAATATTGACAGTTTGTGCCCCTCCTAATCCCCCCAATAATCTCCACCTCCTTCAATTGCACCCTATAAAATTTAGTTGAATTTATAATTAAATTTTGTGAGGTGTAATTGAAGGGATGAGAGGGAGTGAGTTTGGGTTGAGTGGGATGGGCACATGGGGGGTTAAGATGGTAGGAACTATCAATCTTTTCGAACGGATCACCGTAAGCTCCCGAGTCTTCCGATAACATTGATTCTTAATGTCATGTGAACCAAACCAATTTAACATTACTATGTATTTCTTTAATAGTTCGAAGCTATAGATAAAAGTAAAAGTACACAAAAGGACCTAGTCGAACAAAAATTACAAAGATGAGACTAAGGGGCTGTTTGTTTCAGCCTCTTAATGGTTCAGATGTCTGAATGGTTAAGAGATTTGCCTCTGAATGGTTAAGTATTATACAGAGTCTGAATGGTTAAGACCTCTTATCTGAATTGATCAGACATTTGCCTCTAAATAGTTAAGCAATATACTAACTCTTAATGGTTCAGACCTCTTACTGGTTCAGCACTTAATGGTTCAGACCTCTTACTGGTTCAGCACTTACCTATTCAGAAGTTGCCAAACAGCCCCTAAATCCATTGCCAAAATGTCTAGATCCACTTCCTTCATCTACACTTACTAAATTCACTCTTACTCTTATTAATATAACATTTTGCCAAAAGACACTGCCATTTCAAACGAAAAACTTTTACTTTGATATTATCAATCTGTGATCAAAGTTCAATTTACAATCTTTGAGTCTGATCTAGTCTTAGAGAGCTTTTAGAAATGAGGCTCATCCTTTTTTAAAATCAATTTTTTCATCTTTTCAATAACACTCACAATTTCAAAGTTTTTTGATTCATTTTGACATATAAGGAAGGGAGTACATCTTTTAGTACAAGACTTTTACCTTATTTTGTCCCATTTGTCCTTTTTTTTTCTTTAAATAGGGAATCAATTTTCATAATCATCATCTTCCCTCTCCCTTCTAACGGCACCAAACCGCTCTACTAAGAGTTCAACAATGAAAGGCACCAAATCTTCACAAGGAATCCCTTTCTGATACAAATCACCCAAATGTGACCCGCCCCCGATCCTCCCTCCCAAGTACACGTCCACCCCTTCCACGCTCTTCCCCTCCTTGTTCCTCGTCTTGCACCCCATCAGCCCGATATCCGCGACCTGCACCTGCCCGCAGCTGTTCGGGCACCCCGTCCAGTGCACCCGCACCGGCCGCGTGACCGACACCTGCTCCTCCACCTCCTCGGCCACCCTCACCGCCTGCCCTTTGGTCTCTATTATGGCTTGCCCGCAGAACTGGTTCCCGGTGCAGGCGACCAGGCCTCTCATCAGAACGGGCGGGTCGGGCGAGACTCTGCCCGACAAAAGTGGCTCCTCGAGGAATGCCTCGATCTTGGAGTCGTGGATGTTCGGGATTACGATGTTCTGCTCGACCGTGAGACGGAGCTCGCCCGACCCGTACTCGTCGGATAAACGGGCAAGCTCGTCCATTTCGTCCGCTTCGAGGCGTCCCACCGGGACGTGAAGCCCGACAAAGCTATACCCTCTCTGCTTCTGCGGGTGGACTCCCAGATACTCCCTCCTCTCCCAGCTTTTCATGACCAGATCTTCTCCGGCTGCCCTGTCCAGTTCCTGCCATGGCATCCTCTTCACAACTTCTGCTCTAAAACCCTCCATACCCTGCAACGAATCTATTGTAACATTGAAGAAAAAAGCATTTAATTAGAAAAAAAAGAATAATGGAGCATGTTAAGAGAACTTACAAGTTCATCAATCAACCACATCATTCTTGTTTTCTGGCGGTTCCCGCGGGTGCCAAGATCCCGGAAAGTTTCCAGTACAGCACTGCAGACGGGAAGAATGTCATCCGCGGGTACCCATGCGTCTAGAGGGATGGCCTCGGCGCACCGCTTGGGGCTAAAGAAGCCACCCACAAGCAAGTTAAAGCCGAAGCGCCCCTCTCTAATGGCGGGCATGTAAGCAAGATCATTGATGTGGGGATGCTCATAAAGATCATGTGAACCCACCACACACACATTCCATTTCCTTGGTCTGCACACAATGTTTGTCAAAGGATATATAAAAGAAGAGTTAACCTTAAACAACAATAACAACAAACCTCAAAATCTCAAATTAATGAAACAAACAATTCAATAACCAGGCGAAAATTAAAAGACTAAGGAATTAAGGAAGGAAGTAATCTCACAGGTTGGTGAAAGCGGGATTGCCGCGAGCGTTGGAGGTGATGAAATGGGAGAGCAAGTTGTTGTAAGGTCTGGTGTCAACAATTTCATGGGGATCAATGCCAGCAATGGGGTTCCCAACCGGATTCCTGACATTGTCCATGCCACTCTGCAAGCTCGTCAACCCGACTTCCTCAAGCCCCTTGAGAATCCCGGGCACGTCGGGCAGCACCACCCCTCTCACCTGCCAATTCTGCCTCGTCGTCACATCGGCGCACCCCTCTTTCCCGTATTTTCTGATCACGCTTGCCAAGTATCTTGCTTGGGCACTGGTTGTGACCCCATTTGGTAGCTTCAGTCTCATCATGAACCGGCCGTCTGAGTTCACATTCATATATTAGATGCCATAAATTCATTCATTCATTCATATGATGTGCTCTTGTCCGAAATGGTGTTCTATGTACAAAATAGCGGCAGAGAAAAACAAAAACTGACATGGCAAACAGAGTAAAACACTTCCACTCAAATCAGAAGTTAAATTACTAAAAGTAGTTTCCAAGCACCCTCCCTCATAGAAGGGTGAAGCTTAAACTTTTGGATTACAAAGTGGATCCCAACTCTGTTATTTTCGACCCACCGAAATTCTTAACATGATGATTTTTACTTCTACTCCCAAACTCCTTACCCTGACTCTCACCCACCCGAGCATGGGTGTTTTGGTGGGTAAGGGGTAGCTATCAATTTGCGAATGGTGCACCGTAGGTGCCCAATATATGACATTAAGCGCCAATGCTTCTGTTCCTAATATTTTTCCCATCATTTCAACTACACAATTTTACTTTTCTTAATAAAAATTCGAATTCTATTGTAAAACCTTTTTGTGGAATTGGTTTTATGTTAAAACCACACTCTTCTTTTAATAAGAGTTCTAATGTAAGGAACTTACAGTGATGTTTTCTCCTATGGAAGAGGCCAAGCCATTTGAGTCTGGTGTCAACGTCATCCTTCATGACCTTTGACTGTTCAATTGCTTCAAATGGCATCTTCGCAAGCTCCTCAATTTCATTCTCCATGAACAATTTCATCGCCTCTTTCTCAATCTTCACCTTTTCTGCAGGATTCATTCCCTGCCTGAACTTCTCCTTCAATACAAAGTAACCGTCCCTCTCCTCCACCCTGGGTTCCAGCCTTTCGGGTCCGGGCGGCGGCGGCGCCACCGCGTGCGGCGGAGGCGCGCGGAGCTTGGCTGGTTTGGGCAGCTTGATGAAACTGGTGGCACAAATAGATGCCATGTCGGCGAATTATATATTTGCTGCGGTGGTTGCGGCGGCGGCGGAGGACGAAGCCGGAGAAGAAAGTGAGGGAGGGCAAGGCGAGACAGAGAGGCCATTTTGAAGAGGAGAGGGGACCATGCCATGTCGCGCAGCCTTTCGTTGAAGCAAAAGGTTGTTTTGTTCCTTGTCCTTTGGCTTTTGGGGATTCAGAATGGATTTTGGATATATAGCAGGTCGGGTCGGATATCCGTTTCCCACCCATTTTACGACATAGGGGTCAAAGTACTTAAATTTCGATTGTTTAAGAAGAGGGCCTAAATCCAAAGATTGAATAAATGAAAAGGCCTATTTTAGAAATTGTATAGGATTGATTGTGTTTTTATGTTGACAACAATATACAGAGTATACAATTATACATTAATGAATTGGTTTAAGTGTGTATAGATTACCCAATTTTTATAATATAGGGAGCATGAGGTTTTTTAATAAGACAGTGATAATAGCAAATTTGTGTAAAATGTTTGAATTATTAAAGAAAATGTATTGTGTATATTCTATGAACAACAATCTCCAACGCTTCCACATCTCAAGTTCAAAATTTGTTCTTACTCCTTTTTGATATATTTGAGATCTTAAAAACTAATAGAAAAATATTAGTAGTGGGGTTTTGTAGTCACTGATTGGCTTACGGAGTCTGTAAGCCACTTCCATAATCATTATCTCTTTAGAATACCTACGATACTCTATTCCCAAAAATAAAAACCATTAATTTTGCAAACAGTACATAATAGATACTCTAAAAAGAAAGTAGCAACGAGAGTAGCTTTGTAAGCCGCTGGCTAAGAAACCGCCTTGGAAAATATTTTGACAAAATTTCATCCCAACTATCAATAATGATAAGACAAACATGAAATTCATATTTTTCTAAAAAAAAAGTGTACATCACTTCCTCTGTCTCATTAAAAGACTCATTTTTTCTATTTTGAGACGTCTAAAAAAACACTTCTTTCTTTATCTGCAAAATTTTGAGTTATTCACAATTTTTTTCTCTCCTTTCAACCACAAACTTTTACGTAACTTAAAATTTGTACGAAGTCAAACCAAGAACTCTTAACTCGTTACAAAATTTGAATAGCCCATGGGGTGTGCAAAAAAAAAAGGTACTCATGTCAAGTGTCACACAGGTCAAGAGAACTAGAAACAGATCTTTACTTGTATATATATCATACAAAAATGACCTCAAACTTAGCACAAGGGTTGCTCTCTATATGCTTCCTAAACTCACTATCCCCATTGAATCTGAAACTATAGAGTGCCTCTCTCTGCGTCAACCCAACCGGATACACGCGGTAAACCCTCAGCTCGTCTCCTCCCCGCAGAACCGCCGGCCTTTCTTCCTTCCAAATCGGAACGTGCTTCCGAGACTTGAACTTTTCTAACACCGCTGCTCTTAAGGCCTCCAATGTTAAATCACTCGACCTGTTAAAAAAACACTTTGTGTTGTCTAATCATAGCAAATAAGGCAAGAAATGTAATAGAATCGGAAATGAATGCGACTCCTTTTACCTTAAGAAGACAGACTCCATATTGAACCTTCCTCTTTCGCGTACGTATATGTGATAGACGGTTTGGGAACCTCCCGAACACTTGCATGGGCGTTTCGCAAAGGCTGTGCTCTTCTTCTCTTCCCTCTCTTGGATCCTTGTTGCCAGGTGAATGCACAAACGGCAAGACGAATGAACTGCTGCCATGTCAACTAGGGCTTTGAAGGAATCTGATGGACCTTCGAATTTCCACCTGGTAAATAAATATGGTGCATAAATTATAGAAGATGTGTGCACAAATGGGAAGAAAGACAAATGCAGCATTTATCATCACCTTAAAGACTGATTGTATGCACTTGGGTTTTCAGCAAGGTGCTTCATTGTCTTGGCAACCGATTCAACATCTTCAAGCTTTTTTATATGTAAAAGACAACTGGAACATGGAGCATAATCTTCGATGTTTGGAGCACCAACAACAACAGGAACAGATCCTAAATTTATGTTGTTATTATTATCATTATTATTGTAAACATTAAAACTTAAAATAGACAGATTCAAGAAGTGGAAAAATATGAGACTTGATTCAAAACCTACTAAATTTACATCATAGATGACATATAACAGATTTGTTATCCATGAACCCATTCAGAAAACATCAAAAAATCAGTTAATAAAAAGAGGTAATACCAGCTACAAGAGATTGGAAGAACTTTTCAGTGACATAATCCTCCACATTGGAATTTTCAAATGCCAAACTGAATTTGTAGTGCCTCAGAGTATCTACTTTCTTCACTGTAAAAAGAAGGGAAAACACATTAAAATACACAAAAACGTTAACCATCAGCAAATCTAAATTTGGTAAAAGAAATGAGCATTGCCAGTCAAATTTCCTACGCCAAGCCCATCTAATTATTTTTATAACCCTACAAATGCAGACAATTCATTACAAATGAAATATGCACTTTGTCCCAAAATATTAGGATTAGAGTCATCTACCACTTTGAGTGCGGCTTTAAAAAAAAATTGTTTCAAAAATGATGTTCTTTCAAAAAAAATTCCCTTCAAACACAGTCAAAACATTAAACACAAGATTACTAGTAATTGAGTCCTAACCATCGCCATTCTTGTTTCGATGACAACTTCCATATGAATCGATTGTGACTTTTTCTTTTTCAAGTGCTTCAAGAGCTTGCAACCGGAAGTTGCGAGCACCACAGTTAGATATGAAGGCAGCAGCAAGAGCTTTCTGAGTCTTGGGTTGGACTGGTGCCATAATGTCATACTCAGCCCATGAGAAATACCCAACAGGAACATCTGAAGAAAGACTTGTAGTCATCACAACATCATATCCCCTCCTAACAATTCATATAGTATGCAAATGTTAGTAGCCTATAATTTAGCAAATAAAAAGTGTTAATATGAAAATAAATTCCATACTTAAATTTGATCTATATAAGAAAGATTCTAAAAATATAAAACTGTGATCCTCGAATGCTCCTTTGCAAGCTATATGTTCCATAGAAGTTAAAGTGAAAAGCACCACTTGCTTATCCACACTCCAAAATTGTTGTATCCTAATTCACTTCTTCAGGAACTCCATCTTGAAGGCAACGTGTATGCACAAACAAGAAATTAGCAAGAAAAAGCTTATGTAAACTTTTAAAATCCTCTCAGAAAAGTCTTTCTAAACTTGAGTCTTCAGGTTGCATTTGAATCAACAAGAAAAATGTACTGATTATTTTCACTTTAAAAATCCTCTAAAAACCAACTTCTTTGAATCTGTACCGCTGTTGTGGTTGTTTTCGTGGCATCTAAATGAAAATGATCCGACATTGTTTGACATTCTCATCTAAACATCACCAAAAACTTCACATGTTCAAACTCCACATCTGATAGACTGATACCGCAATTGTCACGCAGTCAAGTAATCTTTTTTTAAAACAAAAAAATGTTAGGCAAATATAGCAATTTGTATAAAGATAGGTAATCTTTGATGGTGTTTCCATAACGGTAGCATATGGCAGACTGGTGCGAATGATTGGTCAATGGGTAGCTTTAGCTCTACAAGCATTCCTTGTCGCTATAGTGTGGGTTTTAGGGCCTTTGTAGTTGTTGAGATTAATTGGCAACAATTGTCACTACCCCTTTTAACCTCCAATATGTTGGAACCGGTGACATGAAATTTAGTGTCAATTAACTGTCTAAAACTAGTAAACACTATAAATAAGCTGGCAACACTCCGGCCTTAACATGGAGATGCCTGGAGAGACCAAGTCTGTACGTGCAGACACCGTCCTTTTCCCACCGTTTTCATCTCCCATGTACTGAATTGATAACTTAAACAAAGTGTGTATTCCTTATCAACATGAATGAAAGGCTAACAAATCTAGACCAGCAAATCAAACTGACTCTTTTATACTTTGAAATGGCTCTTCATCCAGTTTCCATGGACATCACGAAATCTCAATCTAAGAAAGAAAGCAATCAAACATCAAATAGAGCTTGAAAAAATGAACAAGAAGCTGAAATCCAATCAAAGAGTATAGATTTGTATGGTTATGGACCTATGGATCCAAAAGATTTAGCTCTACAAGATCACTACTCAAGTAAGATGAGTCTTTTCAGTCTGTGCTTACCCACCGTCTTGCCAGACCAATGTTGTTCTCAGAATAGTATTCTTCAGACTCCATTGACCGATGCACACCCGCTGTCTCAGCTGATCCAGGAGATCCAAATGCAGCATCCGGCTTTCTGCCGGTGGAAGGCATAAATTTACACCCCACAGCACAGAATTTCCATTCCTAGACAGAAAAATGAAAGACATTTGTTGGTGTTTAAACAAAACAAGAAATGCATTTATGGCAAGTATGGAGTTCTTGTGGAAACAAAAGCAGGGCGGAAAATGGAAATAGAAACAGCACCACTGGTAGGTACCTGATGGCCACCGTTGACCAGAATTGGGTCTTTTTCAAAATCCCTAGAATAAGCAACAGTATCTTCCCTCTCCAGCCATTCCTCGCAGCTCTCCAATCCGGAGACAGATTCCGGCAGCTCAGCGGCAAAGCGGACCTCGTCGCCTCCCAAGGAGGTAATGTGGTCTCCGGCGGAAGGCCAAGAGGAGGCGGTGAACTGGTAGAAGGAGTCAGCCCATGAGTTGACCATGTCAACATTCTTGGCCATATCGAGCCGACCCAGAAAAGCGATCTCACCCAGAACCACCAAAGCTACGAACAAAGGCAGAAAACCGAACCACCGCTTCTTCGGGGTGTTGGGATACGACGGCGACCCAATCGGAGCGGGTCCGGGTACGGGCCCATCCTCCACTTTCGGAAGCCTTTGAGTTGGGATAAGAGAAGCCATGTTTTTATACAATCAACCAATTCGTGTATCTCCGGTGCTTTATTCGCCCGCAACCATTTCGGAAGGCGGTAGGTGGCGNGGGGATGGGTGAGAACGGAGAAGAAGAGGTGGAAAGTCAAGTTAACCAGAGATGTGATTGGAGGGGACTCGTTGAAAGAGGTGTGTTACCTTTTAGACTATGTTCTGATCAACGAGACCAATTGGCTTACCAAACAAAAATTAATGGAATAAAAAAAAAGACTAAAACATAGTAATTTTTTAAATATAGAACTATATATTTTTATTTTAGAATGTATGATCATTGGTAAATATTTTTAAATATGGTCATTATTCATTAGTCACTGTTCAAGTAAATATTTATCATCACTGGACTTTATTTCTCTTACTAGACATTATTAAATATTATTTAGGGAATAAAAAAATTTAAGTCTTACATTACGACGAAATGAATTATGTTTTAGTCCTATTTAGTGCAATGAAAAAATAGTGAACAATGAAGTTTTTCCATTATGACAAATCAAACTTAGCATTTGCATTAAGAAAAAGTTGAATTTTTAGTCAAAATTGATACAAAAGACATATCGAAGAAGAGAGGATTATTGTAGATTTGTAGATCATCCATTTCAATATCTGTTTGGTGAGCAAACAATATGAATTTTAATATATCCAGATAACAGAATTCTGTTTCGGTTGTTTAGTAAAGACAAAAGACATATCGAATTTGATATTTTCAGATATCATAAATACTTCAAATCAAGGGTTTTGATATCTTTCTCAATCGTCTATCATTCTCTCCAAACAAATTCGTTTCAACTTTTAAAATTCATATCATTTTTCTTAAATTTCATAACCATATTTTAATATATCTTCAAAACCTCATACCCTAAAAAAGAACATACTCCGTACTCGGTAGGAGATTTTAACTAAGGACTTAAGGTACAAATGTACAATTACTTTCCTAACTAACTGCGCTGAGAACTACTTATACTAGAGAATTGAAGCAGCTGTCTAAACTCCAAATAAAAATTGATCCGGAAATAGTGGTTTCCTGCTGCAATTAATCCACTTTGGGACGTAAATCAGATCTTCGTACTGGAAATGGCTTCAAGTTGTGCCACTCATCCCTCCTCTTTGCCACTCCCACAGACGCCTCTCTGCCGCCACCCTCGGCGCTCGCCGCCGTTCAACTTCCAACAGAAGGTGAATCTCAATTTCGGGACATCACCGCTCAACAGGAGCCCGAGATCTCTACCCGCCTCCCGTTTGCGCGTATCCTGTCTACGTGCCTCCAAAGGTTTAAAATCTGATCTCTCTCTCTCTCTCTCTCTCTCTCTCTCTCTCTCTCTCTCTCTCTATCTCCCTGGTTGTGGATTTTTATTTTTTATGTGCTCTGGATTCTGGACTTTTGGATTGTATATGCATTATAGTGTGTAAGGTTTCGAACAGATCGTGCTTAGTTTCTAGGAGCGCATATCTTGGTTTGATTCTATAATCCACTCGACTATGCTAGAAATGCACTGTCTTTTGGATACAAGCGTATTTTCTTTTGTTTAAGCTTCGTGGATACATTATTTTAGGGTTGCCATGTTCATAAAGAATGGCCACGAGGGAAGACATGAAGGGACTAGGAACTGAAAGGGTAAGAATAGAATTCGTATAGGAAGGAAGGAAACTTAGGAGAACAAATATTCAATTGGGTGTGTACTGAATTTCTTCCCAGCATTACCGATAAACAAGAATTCTCTAGCATTTGAATGCGTACAATTCTCCCAAACATCAACCCATAAAGTAAAAGGACTGGTTGCATAGTTTTGTTCTTCCAAGTATGAAAGCACCAACTAAATAACACTTGTGTGTCTTAATGTCCTTTATGAAGTAACCCTAATATGCTTATACTTGGATGGTTTATTTATCAAAATGTACTTATAGACAAAAAGACGCCTCCTCAATCTGGGCCAAGCTGTTTTTTGTTCAAATTAACTATATACTCCGTAGTAATATGATCAGCTAAGCTTAGTCCCTCAAGGAGCTGGACATGTTCACGACCTTTATGAAGAAGGTTGCTTTGGCTCCCAAATTACCCTTTAAATTCTTATAGAACCTAACCTACTTCTCAAGCATGAGTTTTCCAAGATGAAGACCATTGATCGCCTTTACCACATTACCAAGTGCTTTGCAGCGCCAAAATCCTTGGGGATGAAATGCAATGTTGTTAACATAAAGGCATTAAAGGGAGAGCATAGTGGTGAAGTAAGGATGTCATGATCTCAAGGATAGCACTTTTTGTTTGGGGTCTAGTGTTATGTAAAGCTAAACACTAATATATGAAACATGAATCAAGGCATAATGACGAGCGAGGGGCATTAAATTGAAGGAAACTAAACATTGAAATGGACTAAAATGTAAATGAAAAGCAAGCGTCGATTGGGGGATTTCAAGCCAATCATCCAAATTACCACGAGATTAAGATATCAAATGGAAATCAACATGTGACTCTGGGAGGGAGCAAAATGACCCAATTTTCACTTCTAGGTAAGGGATAGAAACTCATTGAGAAAAACCCACTTAGAGCATGGGCAATGGTGGGGAAAAAATGGAATGTCATACACTGACATGACACATTTTAACCAATAAAAAATAGTTCAGTCCGGAAGTGGCAAAGTCTGGAGTGGAAAAAGCACTAGCAGACAGCTTTTGCCACTTTTAACATTTTTTATGTGTTTTAATTATTAAAAATTATTTTTTTATTAAAAAATATTTCTACTTTCTTACAAAAAAAGGCTTTTTCTCTTCATAAAAAATATAGGGAAAAGAAAAGAGTTATGGAATGCCATGCTGATGCCTCTCCATGCATGATGAAATTGTGAAGCCATGCGAGGCAATCACCAATCAGCTAAAAAGAAGGCTTTGTGCTGAGATGGAGTGGCATGGCAGCCAACAACCTTGCCACTGCCTTTGCTCAAACATGACACTTGTCTTAAAGAAAGCACCAAAATACAAAACTAACCTCCCAAGTATCATCCACTTTTGCGGCAAGGCTTAAAAAGAATTTTGTAACGTATGGAGTACGTGCTAGTGTCATCTGTATCTTATAGTCAGTATATTTCTTATGTTGATGGCAAGGTTAACATTTTTGTGCTCCAGTATTTTTTTGGGATGTATAATTTATGGAAAGATAGGTGGATATTTCACTGTCGGTATAATTTTTTTTGAAAACAAAGCTAAATGTTAGCTGTTTTTCCAGAAAGCAATAGTGAGATCACAGGTATCTTATAAATATCTTTTGATATGTTTGCCATTTCTCAATTTTTTGATTTTATTTGATATTTTTTGCTGATTTTTTTCGAGATTCTGAAGAAATTTTGTCATCCCCATTTCAATATTGGAGACATCATAGTACAGAAATTTCCGTGGAAATATTGGGATATTTTCATTGCTGGTCGATAGATACTCAGTTTAAGGTTTACATAGTATTTGTTATAATGCATAGTCGATGAAACCCGATTGTGATACAGACTTACTGATTTCTTTTTCTTTCCCTTTGGTGTTCTACAGCTGCAGTTGTCACGGGCAAGTCGTGGGACAAATTGGTTCTGACGAGTGATACACCTGTACTCGTCGAGTTCTATGCTAGTTGGTGTGGGCCCTGCCAGATGGTCCACAGGGTGGTCGATGAAATAGCAGCCGAATATTCTGGCAAAATTAAATGTTTCGTTCTGCATGCAGACACGGACGTACAAATTGCAGAAAACTATGATATCAAGGCAGTCCCGGTGGTCTTGCTGTTTAAAAATGGACAGAAATTTGATTCGATCATCGGTACCATGCCCAAGGAATTCTATGTGGCTGCCATTGAGAGGCTCTTACCGGGCACAGTTGGCTATTAAAACTTCAAGTTGGTTTTTATGACTTATGATATGGTTTTTTTCCCTTCTTCCTAAGAAGCGAATCTCGTGCCTATCGAGTTAGCGTAAAATAAGGTTAGCATGAGGTCCTTGTACATACTAGGGAGTAGGGACATATTACACTCTGTTTATCAGTTTAAGATTAAAACTCGATTTACCTCCTTATATTGTCTGGGCTGGTCTTGGGAGGAGCCCCTATCATGGGGTTCATCCTTTTAGCATTTAATAAACATTGATAAGCTAACCCTTTTGATTTGATTTCCCACTTTCTTTTTGAACTTTTGTAGTTGGCACTTAGACTGTGCTGAATCCCCCTACTATGATAGGTGTGACAAGAACATGCAGGGAAGTCATTTAAATCTGCATAAAGTATTCAGAAGGAGCCAAAAGATGCACTGAAACCCAAGGGCTGGAATCTTTCAGTTTCCCCAGATATGGTATTGTAAACCACTCCACTCTTCCTCTCTTACTTCTTTTCTATTTACTCAATCTCTGTGTCATATATGGCTTCTCAAGTCTTACCTTTTTCTTGGAGTATATGTTATAATGTTAAGAGGAGAGAGAATTGCTATCGATTGAACGACTCCTAAGTCGATACAAAGCCATGTGAGTAGAGTTTAATGAAGACATGTGCTACCGATTGAACGACTCCTAAGTCGATACAAAGACATGTGCTATCGATTGACAACATCTTTATGCTCATTTTCTGCTTATAATGTGCTAATTTAAGGCCATGCTTAAGGTGTGTAGAACTCTCTCACATTTTTTGCCAAGTTCATTCCATACTACTTCCTATGTCCAAAGTAATTTGCATGTATGTGCGGCCATGGACAACTGTGCAAATCATGACACCTCCGCAAGTACCACACACTTTACATCACCCCTACGCCAACTGATTAAGATTTTAATTCAATTTACCTCTTCTCAGTTAACTGTTCTTCTGTCCGGCCAGTGCTGTACTGGGGGCCCTCGGGCATTTGGTTCATCCCTCTAAAATTGAAAGTTCATACATCCTCTCTAATAACTATTCGAATCGAATACAAAGAGATCCTAAGATGAATATCATCCCTCTTTTTTTTGACAGGTAGCTCATCTCTCTTTTTTAATTATGAAATAAAGTAAATGTTTCTTTGTGCTAGTGCTTATTGACTTTAGCTTATAAGTAGTTTTTAACTTATAAGTTGCTTATAAGTTAAAAAAATTGTGTAGATAAATGACTTAAATAATATATAAGTCATTTGGGGATATTCATAGTAGGTGAGAGATAGTCAAATTAGAGAAACAAAAAAACTGTTTTAAAAATAAGTAAGACATTTATTTTTTTCGACTTATAAGCAGCAGCTTATAAGCACAGAAAAATACATGTCATCTAGTGATTTATAAGTTAAAAAATACTCCGTAGTTTATAAGTAGTTTTGATCAATTTATAAGTACAGAAAAACACCCACAAAATATGGATTTAATTATAATGTCGGCAATGGCACGTGAATGATACATGAAACGTGGATAAAATTTGTGAATTACTCAATACATATGACCGACCATTATTATGAGGGTTGGCCAAATAATCATCATCTTCTCTGCAATATTTATGAAACAAATGGTGTCCGAACAAATTTTAATGTCAAATTCTGGTGCTAAAATAAATTGTTTCATTTTTCATTTCAATACTTCATTCTCATAAAAAGATTTTCTTATTCCATTTTTTTCGTGGATTGGAAAAATTAACTTTTGATTTTTTGCAATTCCAACTCCTTCCAGTTTCTTCCAATAAAGATTTAAAAACAGTATTTATATGTGATGAATATACAATAATATTATATATCTAAATTTATAACGTACAATCTCAAACACAGATAAAGATGATTTTTTTTCATTCAAAATTATAACTTTCCTACATATTTATTTGGATGATTGTTTAATTAAATGACTTTTTAAGACTTTAAATTTTCTAACGTTTTCTAACTTGTTTTTTTAACTTCTTCCAGATTCTTTCAACACTCAACCCTAAAATTTTAACCCAAAAGAACAGACCTTATTTGATTTTGATAAAATTTTAAAAAATGTTTAAATGCTTTATTCAATTTTAGTACTTCCTCCGTCTTATAAAATTTTTCTCATTTAGACTTTTAGGAAATTTAATGGAATGATATTTTTTATGTCGTCTTTTAAAAAATACTCTTGATATGATGGATAAAAGTCGGATGAAATAGAAACATTGTTAGTAAAATTGTATAATGTGATAAGTAAATAAAAATTGGTAGAAGTAAAAATTGTTTTTAACCCTTCCATCCAAAAAGAATATCACAATTTTATTTTGGCATCTCGATAAGTTTTGTTTGTTTACTCATTTTCGTTGATCATTTGATAAAATATTCTTGTTGCATCTTGTTTTGTAACATTTTTTATGTATTTTTGAATGATGTAATTTTTACTTTTTATATCTCTACTAATTTGTAAATAAAATAATTTTAAAATGGATGAATTTTTTCACATGCTTTGAAATATTGCAAACAATATGGGATGGAGGGAGATAGAATAATGAAAGACTATGAGACACAAAAAAAGAAAGAAAAAGAGGGTTTTAGGATGAGAGTGAATATTAATTAATTAATGTGTTCAATGTTTTAGGACTTCTTAATTCACATATGGCTACCGCTAATATTTTCCATCTACACTTTGATTGATCCTTTGTTAAAATAAAATATTTTTATCACATCTATTTTTGTAAAACTTTTGACATAATATTTTAAATGTGTAAACTTTATTTTAAATTTTAGTATGAGTTTTAATAAAATAAATTTTAAAAAATTTGAAATTTTGATTCGCTTTATGTAAAGTATAAAACAATTTGAGACAAAATGAGTATTGTTTCTATCTCTTATTGCGCAAGAGTGAGCACTATTTGGATTAGAGATGACAATGAGACGGATTTTGGTCGGGTGGAGTTTCACCCTCATCCAACTTCATATTCATCACCATATCTATCCATCATCTCTTACATACATCTTTCATCATCCTATCCATCCATCATCCACGGGTGAATCGGGTAAAAATGAGTGATATAAGTATTACTAATTCTTAATCATTAATACAAAACGAAAAATTTATGAAGTATATAACACAGAAAAAATCTTAAAAAATAAAAAATTAATACTCTCTTCATCATGAAACATTCTTCTCACTTAATATTACTACAGTCAAACTTTAATCACTTTCTTTACCTATTTTTATTATTTATTTGATAAAATAGTCTTGTCATCTCTTGTTTTGTAAAATTTTTTATGTTTTTTTTAAATATATAAATTTAATATTTAAATTTTACACAAACAATCAAATAAATTGAAAAGAAATCTCCTTGGATAGCACTGTAAAACCACCAATATTACATAAATATAGCACTCCCTCAATTTTTTTTGGTTTAAATGGAAATTCCATCGTGAAGGCACAGTAAAAACCCTTTTAATATATTTTTTATTACGATAATTTTTGGAGTTAAGTTATTCTCTTTCCATGACTGTAGCGGTTACATTTTATGCATTCTTCACAACTGTGCCACTCTAACTCTCCATAATGGCAGTGTGGCGACAATGGTAACTGCGTGACTAAGTGGTGGTGATCGTGATGGCATTGTCGTAAAAAATGTCATAGTAGTGTTAGATAGGTAATTCTAGCTACATTGTAGTGCTACATAGGGAAATTTTATCAAATTGAATTGAAAATAAAGTTGGTCAAGCCTCATAAACAGAAACGAGGTGAACGTTTTAGGGCAGAGCGAGTAATGTTTATGATAAAATCTTGTAAAGAAAAAATCTTCTAAGCTACAAGCTAGCTTTCTATATAAAATCGAACTTTAAAAAAGTAGAACAAACTTATGTGTTCAACAAATGTAATATTTTAATTTATTACATCTTCATCCTTATTTGATCAATCCATCATTAAGTTATCCATGCATCATCCGTCTATCACACTTTTTTAAAGATTTTTTTAGATGAATTAGTTATCCATTAAATCAAGTAGAAATTGTCTATGTCCAATTTGGATTGAGGAACATAAAATACTCTCTTCGTCCCAGATTATTTGTCCAGTTTGACTTTTTCGAGTCAAACTGGACAAACTTTAAGCTTTAATTAAATAAAAACCGTAAAATATTTTAATATAAAAATGATTTTATTGGATTTATCATATTGAGAATTTTCAAAATTGTATTTCATTCAACTAATATGTAATATGAATTAAGAGTAATTGGAGTTCAAAGTTTATCCAGTTTGACTTGAAAAAGTCAAACTAGACAAATACTCTGGGACGGACGGATGTAGTAGGAGGATTTCCTCAAAGAAAAAAAAGGAAGGGGTCCACACCGAAATCTCTTTTCATCTTTGAACATTGACCATTGACAGTCCACGTAATAGTCAAATCTTACTGCGTATATCCTGCTATCATTTTACTCTTTCCCTTAAAAAAATGTTACACTTTAATATATTATAATTTAAAATCTACAAAAAATATTTGTTTTTCCTTGTTTTTATTGATTTTTATACTAAAATAAGATATTTTTTTTATCTTTTCTTTTATATATAAATCACACAAAATATACTCCGCATATTAAAGCACGAGTAATAATGTAAACTTAATTTTGACTACAAATTTCATGAACTTGACCATAATTACATAAAATGTATATGAAGTAATAATGTAAATTTATTTTTCTTCGATTCATTTTAAAATACAGTTTTAAAATTATTCTCATGTATAATTTTTATTCCCCCTCCGTCCTTAAATAGATTTAAAAAAATTCTCTCTCTTCTTGATAATTTTTGTTTGTTTACGCGATTTCATTAGGTATTTGATAAAATAAAATATTCTTGTCACATCTTATTTTGTAGAACTTTGACATAGTTTTTAATATGTAATTTTTATATCTTATTGATATACTAATTTGTAAATAAAATAATTTCAAAAAGTAAGAAATTTTACTCCGTAATCTACAATTTGTAATCAAATTGGGGATGGAAGGAGTACATAATTGTAAAGAGAAATATTAAGGGTCAAAGTAATTAAACTACGCAAGTTAGACACATGTTATTGTAATGAGAAGGAAACTATCCTAAATTTCTCCACACGAGTGTTCGAGCCCCACACATACTCTTAAAAAAGTTGAGATTATAAGATTGAACATACATTATATTGATGAGTATGTGAGCTACAAAATAATCATAAGGCCTTGTTTAAAAATATACCATTTTAAATTTGTGTTAGAGTTTTTGATTATTTTTTAATGATCGAGCATATTATTAACTTAGAAGTGTAAAATTAAATGATGGTCTTAGATAATTATTTCAAAATATTAAACTAACACTATGTATGGATGGCGTGAAAATAGTAAGAAAGAAAACGTTAGATGAGAATACACAAAACAAGTGCAAATTCACTTATTTGGATATGTGAGAAAATAGAGGGAGAAGAGAAAATGAAAGAGAAGAATGCGATCATGTAAAATAAAATTCACCATAGATAATGAGAAAATGGATGAAAAAATATTCCATCTCTTTCTTCTATTTTTTCATATTGTCATTGTTTTTATCATTTTCTATCAATTCAAACATTAATTTTTTTCTTTATTTTCTCGCCATTTTCTTTTCTTTCATTTTCTTTCCTTTCATTTTATTTTCTCCTTTTTCTCTTTTCATCCAAACAAACCATAAGAGTGAAAGTTAGTGTCAAAGGGATACTTAAATTATATTGATTAAATTATTTGAAATAATATTTTAGGCAATCAACGTGTAAAGCCAATGTGATTTATTGGAGACAAAAGCACATCCGTTACATTTTGACCACATTATAATAATATAATATTTGAGCATCTCTATTTCACCATTAATAGTAAACCTTATTCAAATCCTTGGAACTAACATTCAAAAAAACCCCGACAAAATTTTGAATGACTAGTTACGGAGCTACCTTTTAATGAATTGCTAGTCTTAATAGTTAATAAAAGGTAGTATTCAAATATCAAATTTTTATAAAATATATTTATGTATAAATATAGATATTAATGATCAAAGCACAATATTAGAGACCGTAAAAAGTCAAATGAGAAGAATATTTTCGGACGGAAGGAGTATTATTCTAGTTTGACTATATTGAATCAAACAATTTTGAGTTTCAATAAGTAAGTGTACGATGTATATTAGTACAAAAATATTTTTATTTCTTGTAAACTTTTAAAATCTTATTTTATTGTACTAATATACAATACAAATTGAGAGTAATTAAAGTTTAAAATTTGTCTTGTTTGACACTGGACAAAAATATTGGGACAGAGGTAGTAGTAATAATAATAATAATAATAAATTTATATTGACCTGGTTGCAATGCAATAAATCATTTTCTAGTCTTTATATATATGGATAATATTATTCTATCATGATATAAGAGCAAGAGTTCATCAATAATGCTCGAGATTTAAGATTTTTTCAATTTATTTTATTTAAAAATTATTATCATGTAGTACTTTCAGTTTTAAATTTTTTTTATAGAAATAAAAAATAAAATATACATATTTAAAAAAAATATGAAAAGTTTTTTTCAAAATAAGTGATGACAAAAATATTTTATTATTTCAAATAATAAACCTAGAAGTACAAATAGACAAAAATTGTAGTGACTTTTGAGTATTGAACTATGATATTCTTTTCTAAAAAGTACTCCGTACTATATATGCATTCAAAAAATATTTAAAAGACCATACCGAGTAATTAAAAGGTGAAAAATATTGATACATATCTTTGGGTAGAAAGTGGAGTACAATTTTTGAGATATATATAATTTGATACAAAATTTATATAGAAGAGAAAAATATTGTAAGAAATCAAATTTTCTTTTGGACAACATTAAACTTTTATTCTGGAATGTCAAAAATAAAATATTTTATTTAAATTATTTTTTGAAAAAATTGAGGCCGTGAAGTGGATAGGAATTGTATCTCTCCGGACATGGGGTCTCAGAAGTGGGGCCAGTCCGACGCAAGCTTTGACCACATATCTGCCACCCAATAAAACAAAAGCTTCCGTTTTTGAATATCTTCCGTCACAACTCTCGGCAATTCAAGACTCAATTGTGTCCTTTTGTTTTTTAATTTATAGTCTTTTTTTGGCAAAGATGAAATGAAAGAACTTATTCTAGCATGACTGAATATACACCTTCTGTCCTAGAATGAATATCATTATTACATGATTTCGATAACTTTTGTTTGTTTGTATATTTCTATTGATCGTTTGATAAAATAAATTATTCTTGTCAGTTCTTATCTTTTAGATTTTTTATGTATTCTTAAACGGTGTAATTCATATTTTTTTAGAGTGTGATATTCATTGTGGGACGAAAAAATATTATATTGGTTCATTGGTCAAACAACATGGTTCAGAAATTTATTTTTATTTAAAAAGTGATGAGTCCCATCTCCGAGGGTTCCCTCAGACCCGGTCAGACGGTCACTGAGAGATGATAAATTAGACTTTAATCGCATATTAATGGCAAAAAGTGAAACTTGCACCTGATACTAGCAGAAGCCATATGCTTAGCATGGTCACCTCCCAGCGCAGTTGCCAAGAATTAAACTCGGTCTTACCCCCTTAACACCCCTTATATTTGTATTTAAAACAAGAGAAGAGATCTTGTACAATTAACTCTTCACATTACTTTTTTCATTTTCAACAAGCTAAATCAAATAGGTAAAATAAATTATTTAACGTAAGAGATTTTCCAATAGAGTACTCCCTCCATCCCACTTTCTTTGTCCACTTACCTTTTGGCACACCATCCAATGCACTTCTTTAATCCATTTTATCTTGTAATTTGTATATTAAAAAATTATAGAAATTATATATTAATAATCTATATGTTAAGACAAATCAAACAAGATCACACATGACTATATTTAGATTTACACATTGAGAGAATTTGATAAGTCTTATTTCGAACAACTTTTCATGTAGTATTTTGATATGTAAATTTTATTTTTTATTTTCATATCGATATGTAAATAAAATGAATTAAAAAATTTAATATTTTACCTCGAGAATACAAGTGTGACAAATATTTATGAACGAATATAATATAAGATTATTTGTGGTTGCCAATATTTAAGATTTGAGGATCAATCGTGGAGATCGGGTTCTAACGAGACACAAATCAAGTACGGGAAAAAAAAAGATTTGAATACACTGGAGATCACACTCACCTAACGCTGGTCATCCATGGTTAAATGCACATGTCCATTTCGGGCGCGAATCATACACACGTGTGGGTTTTAGCACTACTATATCATACTTTTCCTCCCCTGCCTGCCCTGCCCTCTCTCTTCTGGTCTTCAATTCATTCAATCCAGTTCGATCCAATCCTCCCAATAATAATAATAATAATACTAATTCTGATTCACTACCATAATGCCAGCTGCAAGCTTAGGCCCATTGGATATTTCCGTTCAGGTTCCCTACCATTTCCGGTGTCCGATTTCCTTGGAGCTCATGCGCGATCCGGTCACCGCCTCCTCCGGCCAGACGTACGACCGGGAAAGCATCGAGTCCTGGCTGGCCACCGGGAACACCACCTGTCCCGTCACTAGATCGCCGCTCGCCGACTTCACTCTCATCCCTAACCACACTCTCCGCCGGCTCATCCAGGCCTGGTGCGTCGCCAACAGGGCGTTCGGAATCGAGCGGATTCCCACTCCCAAGCTGCCGGCTGAACCGGGCCTGGTCCGGTCCTTGCTGAGCCAGGCGTCTTCCGAGCGGAACCATTTCGGCGTCAGGCTCTCCGCGCTGAGGAGACTCAAGGGACTCGCGCGCGACTCGGAGAAAAACCGTTGCGTTATTCTGGCTAGCCACGCGCGGGAAGTGCTGCTCCGTTTTCTGTTCTCGCACGCGCGGGATCCGCCGGATTCGGAGGAGTTCCGGTATGAGTCGCTCGCGATTTTGGCTGTGCTCTCACTCTCCGAGGAGGAGTCCGTTCTCGTGTCCTCCGATCCGGTTCGAATCGGTTACCTTGTGTCCCTGCTTTCGAATTCTTCCATTCAAGTCCGAATCGACTCGGCGGCGGTGATAGAGTCCGTTCTCGTCGGGACGAGATCGCCGGAGCTGAGGGCTCAAATCAGCGACGTCGACGGGATCTTCGAAGGAATAATCGCGATTCTCGACTGTCCGTTGTCGTACTCGAGAGCGTCGAAGATCGGAGTGAAGGCTCTGCTGGCGCTGTGCCTGACGAAGCAGCACCGGCACAAGGCGGTGTCCGCCGGAGCAGTGGACGCGCTGGTAGACAGGTTGCCGGATTTTGACGAGCGCGACGCGGAGAGGGCGCTGGCCACGGTGGAGCTCCTATGCCGGATTCCATCCGGAATCGCGGCCTTCGCGGTCCACGCAATGACGGTGCCTCTGCTCGTGAAGAGCATCCTGAGGATCTCGGACAGAGCCACGGAGCACGCCGCCGGAGCTCTCCTCTCCATATGCTCCGACTCCGAAGCAGCACAGCGAGAGGCGGTGTCGGCCGGCGTTTTAACTCAGCTGCTCCTGCTTGTGCAGAGCGATTGTACGGAGAGAGGGAAACGGAAAGCGCAAATGCTGCTGAAGCTGCTGCTCCACAACCACGATTGTTGGCCGGAGGACTTCGCCGCAAATTCAGTGGATTTTGGGGCTTGATTTTGATTGGGGGTACCTAATTAATTCTTTTCTATTAGTCACTTTACCTATATTGTAAATTCATGTTCATACTTCATACACCCCATTTCTTTTTAAATTAATTAAATAAACATCTTAATTGACAAATCTCGAATTGTATATTGTTCCCCCCCCATTGTTAATAGCTTCGTTTTCATAAGTTAATGGACATTTTTAATCTAATGTGTATCTTACATCATCAATGGAGTCAATGGACATAGTAACATCTTCTATGACGGATAAAAAAAAGAATGAATCTCATTTTCAAAAGTCTATTCTAAGATCAATTGAAGTCGGAAGACACAGAGTGTTGCTTGTCTCCTAATGCAATTATCTTTGTTTTTAGTATTAAATAAAGCGGTGCAACACAAAATTGAATAGCGGCTAAAAATGTCGTAGTTCTAAGAATTGTTTATTGTCATTTTAAGATTCACATATGAAATATTGACTTTCTCACATTATTTTTAGGGTCAAATCTATTAAATAAGTACTCCCTTCGTTCTAAAATATTTGTAACATTTGCTTTTTCAGCAGGCGCGAAAACTTTTGTTTATTTCTACGTTTTCATTGGTTATGTGATAAAATACAGTAAAATATTCTTGACACCTCTTATTTCGAAAACTTTTCATGTAGTTTTTTGATATGTAAATTTTATTTTTTATTTCTATCCCAATATTATGTAAATAAATTGAATTAAAAAAATTTGATATTTTATCTCGAAAATATAAGTGTGGCAAATATTTAGGGAAGGAAGGAGTATGAATCTAAGAATCACAGAAAAGATTGAGCAAATTTAGCAATTCGCATAAAAATTGATAAAATCTACACATGATAACATCAATAAATACAAATAAATGAACATTCATGCTTAAAACTCAAAATTACTAGAATTTTACATATTTAAAAAAATCATTTTGGTTCAAAACAAGACCGTTTTAATTTGTTTGTCCAAAAATCCAAAATAACTAGCGGGTTATGACGATTAGCTACACTTTCCTCCTCTCACATTATTCTAGGGCCCAAGTAGAATCTCAGTCGGGGCCTACCTCACATGGAAAAACCCAAATCGATAACTTTGGGCTGACTTTTCCTAAGGGTTGGGCTCAGACCCAAGTCTCCGAATTGTGGTCATGGGCCGTTATGGGCTTGCTAAGGGAGCAGATATTGCTTGGGACAACATGTGAGTCTATGCAGCATCTATACATAATTATTTCAATTTTTTCTTGTTTTGACATCCATAATTTTCACCTTAGAATGATTGGAGGTTTATATTCTTTCATGGTGTTCCGTTGATAAAATTGATAATTCCAACCCCTTACCTCTAGCCTCCCTAAACTTTTAGGTTTTTACATTTTTTAAAAATCAAAGCAATAACTTTAGGTTTTAATGATTTTAAAATTAGTTTTTTTGAATGTACAACTATATACTATGCCAGCTACGAAGTATTTTATTTTAATTGTCAAAGTTTTGTACGCAGAATTATTAATAATAACATATATACTGAGTAATCAAATTTAGCCATAATTTTAAAACCAAAGTACTTCAAACAATAAAAAATAAGGCCTTAGAATATTTATTATCAAGTATTTCTTTCTATATTTTTTCCCTTCATTTTTCCTCTAAAAAAATACTATAACTCGGCCGGATTACAGCATGCATTTAAGTGAGTGAACCGCCGGCCGGAACGGCTCGGCTCTCACATTGCATGCATGCATGGGTCGTTATCCAGGCCGTAATCTCTGCGGCGGCTTGTTTGTATATCTCCTCCGCCCCCGCTGCCGCCGAGCACGACGTCGTTTCGGAGTGGAACCTCCATCCATTCCCCGAACGAGCTTGAATCATGACCATGCTCCGGTGGCGATCCGACGACACTTGAGCAGACACAACCTCTATCTTATGCTTCTCCAGAACCAAGCACACCTCCGTCAGGAGGCTGCCGCTGCCGCCGCATCTGGCGGCAGCGGCAGCCTCCTTCGGACAGCAGAGACTGATCTGGGCGTCGCCCCCACAGACATTGAGGACGACGTTCGGAGATGTCCACGTCTGGAACGACGATGCCGCGGGGTGTCGGGGGACGACAGGCTCAGGATAGTGGTTTTGTGGCGGCGTTGACAGAGATCCGATCAGGGAAGCCAGGAGGCCGCCGGCGCCGGCGGGAGGATTCGTTGTGGCGGTCTTCATGGTCGTGGTTTTGTGTCGTGAGGGTAAAAGAGAGGATGATGATGGGGCGGCGGCGGCGGGGGAGGCGAAGTTGAAGCCATATTGGAGCATTTCCATCTTTCGCTTCTGGAGCTTGTGGAGAGTGTGTTGGAGGGCTGTGATGTAGCTCACAGCTTCGTCAACAATGGTGGATTTGTCAGCCTGCACCAGCGAGCCCACAGTACATGATTTTTAATATAGACATTGAAATTTCTTAACAGAGTTTTGGGAGCTACGGGGCAGAATCCGCTGAAGTCAAAGTTAATTATCTCAATTTCAATATCTTCTAAATCTAATCTAGTGAAATTTGCACTAATTGAACATCAATAAAACATACTCCGCCGTACTTGGGCTCAAGCCAAGGGCAAGATGGCCTATTGGCCAAGGCCCAATAGTAGATGGGGCCCCACTTTTTTGTAAATGTATTTCATGTACTCTCTTCGTTTCTTTAAACCCTTCCAATTTTGACTTTGGACAAAAATAAAGAAAATGTAATTTTGGTTGACTTTCCAGTTTTGCCTCTGATGTGATGGGTAAAAGTAAAATGTGATAGTTTTGTTATTAAGTGAAAAAGTATGATGTGATATATAGGGTATGAAAAAGTAAGGGTAAAAGTGGTTTTTTAATAGAAAATGGAAGTGTTTTAGGGAATTTTAAAAAACGAAAGAGAAAGGGTTTTATGAAACATAAAGAGTATTTATTTATTATTTAATTATTTATATACTTTTCGTCTCAATTTAAATCATCTATTATTGTTTATAGAGAAATTTACCTAATATAAATAAGACTAAAACATAATGACTTTTCCAATATAGGACCATATGTTTTTATTTTCCAATGTAGGACTTTTGGTCATTATCATGTAGTCATTATTCAAGTAAATGTCCATTATTACTGGACATTATTTTTCCCACTAAGTCATTATTAAGTTATATTTAGAGAATAAAAAAGTTTAAGTCCTACATTGGGAAAGACATTATGTTTTAGTCCTATTTAGTGCAAATTTTACTTGTTTATAATGTTTGATTGTAATTATTTTTAATTCATTTTATTTAAAAGTTAGTGTAGAATTAAAAACAAAATTTATATATTTAAAAAGTACATCAAAAGTCCTATATCAACCAATTGGATCTCAAAAATGCTAGAAAAACTTCAGGAATCTTTGGCTAGTTATTAACGTATGTAACTATAGATTTATAAGACTAGACACTTGACTTTTTATTATTCTTATTACTATTGTACAAAGTAATTTTTTATTATTAAAAATATAATTTATAGATTTTGCTTTATTATGACATGATGACCGATTTTCTCGGTGTTGTCCAGAGCCCATAATTTCTCGGAGACAGCCCTGGTACTTGGATAATGGCTAGTGGTAGAAACAATGTCCAGATGATGGTCATTTAGTTTGAACAGTGTCCAGTGTCGCTGAACATTTACTTGAAGATTTGACCAGTAGACATTAAACAATGATATTACATTGGGAAATAAAAATATATGGTACTGCATTGGGAAAGTTGCTATATTTTAGTACTATTTAGGTAAATTTCCCCTAATTCTATGTATTCGTTGTTTATTAGGTCAAACTTTATTCACTTTGTTTTCCATCATCTCCGATGGAGCAAAAAATTGACTATTTTTTTTACTTTGGGGTGTGATGGAATAAAATAAAATGGATCTCTAAATTTTCTACGCTTTTTTAATTAATGAAATAGCAATTAGTCAATTGATGCAACTATCATCGCTGAGCCGGAGGTCTCTTTGGAAACGTACACACCCTTCCCAAACCCTACTCTTGTAGTATTCAGCTGTTTAATAAAATAATATAGTGAGTCACATCTACTTTCGTAGATATTTTGTTTATACTACCAAACATTTTTTTTTTGAAATTTGATATCCTTGATTCATCTACCAAACAGGCCCTTAGTCTTTTAGAAGCAGATCTCAAATGGGTCACCTTTTTAGTAGTCTCTCTTCTGTAAATTTTCTTTACAATTTGACTTTTTGTATTAAAGTTATAAACTTCGAACTCGGTGTAAAGGAAAAAAATACATTTTATTTTGATCTAAATAATGCAATATCAAAAGCTATTTTGAAATGTAGTTTTGAAATATTAAATTTTTATAAAATGTAATTATGCATAAGTATATATATTAATGATCAATATTGTAATCCAGTCAAAAAAGAAGAAAATTTAGGATAGTTGGAGTAATTTAAAATTTAATTTTAAATTCAAATTGTACAAATGTATTAATATGTACTATTATTACGAGTAATATTTAATGCGTATCACACACTAAACATTGTCAAATTCATAAGTGTAATTTTTAATTTTTAACATATTGTCAATAAATGATTAATTATGCTTGTGGGGTGCAATTGAAGGGGGTGTGTTCGGGTCGGGGCGGGGTGGGGGTTAGGCGGGGTAGGAACCGTCAATTTTACGAACGGGGCACCGGAGCGCCCCCGGGTCATCCCATCACATTGGTTCCCAATGTCACGGGAACCTAGGTGTTGTATCAAATATAAACTTAATTTTTTTATTTTGGCACTAGGGAAATTCGGAACGGTTTGAGACGTCATAATTCAAACTTTTTATCAACTATAAACTTAAAAAATAAATTCTTACTCTGTATTTGTTAACCCATAAAATAACTCAAAATAAAGTTATATATAAACACCTTTAGTAAATTCTACGGGAGTAAATAAAGTAGATTTAAAAGTAATAAACATGTTAAAAATAATATTTTAGTTTACGAATCTTATGTAGTATAAAAAAGTAATGCAAATTAATGTTTGAACCTAGCTATTTATTTGAATA